ACACACACACACACATATATACACACACACACACACACACACACACACACACACACACACACACACACACACACACACACACACACACACACACACACACATACACACACACACACACACACACACACACACACACACACACACACACACACACACACACACACACACAGTTACGGAAATCTCACCCATATGGAAATGGGGAAAAAAATCTGATTTGATGGTGTCGTCATGCTTGCTATTAAACTCTCAATGACGATTCTTACAGTGTGCGCATTTACATTGAGGCGGCGATCTGAAAGCCACAGCGGCGTGCGATGCAATGCTCAAACTGCGCCTGCCGACTGAGCAGCAGACTCATTTCACAGTTATAAACATATCTGCTGTAAAGAAATCCAACAGTCCACACCGACGGGGGTCATAAAGCTACAGCTTTCACATTATGGATTTGAGCGAATCCAGCAGCTCGCCATTGACTTTTCATTTGAAGTCATTATCAAGCATCTCTTGTTGGACCCTGAACCAATCAGATAGCACAGCCGGCACCAACAAACAAAGAGGATATTAATCCTGACAATAAATCATCCTCAGACAGGTCACCACTAACGAGTTCGTGCAGGATGAAGGGTACCGATTGCTTCCGTGAGTTGCTACATATTCGGCACACTATACGTATTATCACAATTGGCTTTTAGCCGTTTGCTGGATATTGTTGTCTTCTGGGGTTATATTCAGCAGCTCATTATTGAGTGGCGAAGCAGAATTATATCCTTCATTAAAAAAAAATTAATAATGAAAAGAGTTTTCATTATTATCTGGCATGGTAATTACAGGTGCGGAGGACAAGATAACCTTTGAGGTGCTTTGGATAAACAGATAATGTGATCACCTGTGCGAGAGAGCTACTGTAGGCCTAGATTTGATGCAGCAGCCTGCGTCCTGAGTCAACAGCAAAGCTCTACTCAAAACCAATTAAAATTTCTCCCACTCAAGCCTTTTTAATAGCCTACCCAATAACCTTTCAGTTTGAGTTTCCCTGAGTAGACGGAGCAATGGAAGGAATCTTCTAATTGCCGGTCTCCTCAGGCTCATTACTTTGATATAAACAGCTTTTATCTGGCAGATCACACATCTCCAGTCACGGTTTATTGTGGCATTTCAAAAGGCAGAAGATAGAAGAATGACAAGTGCTGAACCTCCTCGCAACTGTTTTATTTATTTTTTCAAGTATCAGCAGACAGAACGAGGGATATTTCTCGCTGCGAGAGAGAAAACATTTTGTATGTGCAGAAAAGAAGACCTCTGGGGTGGCTGCTGTTATCCTCCCTAAGTGGACAAAACATAAAAATGGAGATCCGACAAATGGCCAAGCTGTTGCTTAAGGGTTTGTGGTATCCCGTTAGAAAGTTTAACACGCTCGGTATCATTTGTTGCCGAGCAGCCGGCGTTGTAAGTCTCCAAGGGACAACACCAAAGCTGCGTTTCAGTACGCAGATTTCAGTTGGTTTTTAGCTAGAAAGCCTTCAGTTTGACACTGCACTTCTAGGTTTCTGTTTTAGGAAAATCTAGCACTGTAAAATATCAGATTCTGCCGTATTAGCGGCACCTTTCAGTTCCAGGGGGTTTTATGTCTATATTTTATGTCGGTATCAAAACATTCCTTAAATCCAGAGAGGGAGAAAAAAGAGAGATAAATCTCTTCTTGTTTTTCTCCCAGACAACTTATGTCTCATGAAAATACTTCATAATTCATTATGACAAAAAGCAAAACCTGCAGGCTTGTGTGAAGAGTTATAATGGTGGAAGAGCTCTGAAAAGAGACATATCATAGGTCACAACAGTCAATACAGTAATATAGACAGAGACCGCAGGAGCCACTGATGGACATAAGAAGCATTTCAAGCAGATGCCATCTTTAAGAGAGACAAGAGCAGAGAGCCCAACGCGCTGCGGCCTTAAGAATGCCCTAAAGGCTGCCGACCAGCGGCTGTACAGTGCCGGCTAAATTATTGAGAGCCTGCAGAATACCTCATCTGTCAGTCAGTCAGACGGTCAGTTAGTCAGGTAGGCAGGCATGATGGAAACGCAAGTATCGTATCTGTACTTCCAGAGTGCTGTGCCGCGGGTCGGAACGCCCTCACCTGTCACTGGAAGGCAGTGTTTGGACTTGAAAAAGAGTCCTCGACTCAAAGGGAGGGTTTAAAGAAGAGCTGCGTGTCTCGGCTGGAGATGTGTGATGTGTGAGACAGTTAAATGTCAGGTTCTGGGAAAAAGAGAGCGTTTTTCTCCAACTTGTCGAGGTCTTAGCCGAGACAGAGGATTGTATAGCAATGCTGTACCTTCTGAATGTCACTTAAAGGAACAGTGTGCGGCATTTAGGGGGATATATTGGCAGAGATGCAAAATATATGTTAATACATTTTCTTTTGCGTATAATCGCCTGAAAATAAGAATAGTTGTGTTTTCGCTACCTTTGTAGCAGTTGTAAAACACTGACTGTCAAATCAAATGAAGAAAGTTTGATTGAATATCTTAACAATAAACGGGAGAAGTTTCAGTTAATTGCGATCTGCAGCCTAGATGGCGCCAAATCCTACACACTGCACCTTTAAGACGCCATTATACGTCATCAGAACTGCTTGTCGGATGGTCGAACAGCTTTGGAAACCAACATTAACTTTCTCGAATGGCTAAGCTGTCTTTTTGTTGTTGTTGTTGTTTTGTTGTGAACAACTGAGAGCAACACTATGAATGTTTTCTGGGAGAGGCCGTCTGAAATAATACGATTATCTTTAAAACTATTTTTAAAGTGTCCGAACACATATCCAGACAAGAAGTAAACTAGGGTTTTTCAAGTAAAGCCTCACAGCTAGTGAGGAGGATGCAGAGAAAGTTTGTCTTAAGTCCATCTAAATCCATTAGTTTGTGACACATCTTAGCTGCACTTTGTTCCTTTATCTATGATCCTACAACATAATATCCAAAATATATGCCCCGTGAACTCTTCCCCTCTGCCCCACATTTGACTCGCATATCAAAGACAGCTAAATGATAATTAAATGATCACGATGGCTGAATTCATCAGGCCCTTGGAAGTTCCCCGCTTATCTCTCCGAGTGCCATAGGTCATGCACTGCATTAACTGCTTCAATTATTCATCCACAATGCCCTCGGTTCTGAAACTGCACTCCATGGCGAGGAATCCAGCTTTGCCATTTTGCTTAGTGAAATACAAATCCTTTTAAATTAGAAGGTCCTTGATGGATTCGACCCCCCGCCCGCCTCCTGAACACCCTCCAGGCCCCAAACCTCCAGGGGATCCATGATTATATTTATCACCTCGCCTGTCAAGAGGCAAACCCGCCATCTCCAGCCTCCCCGCCTCAACACGTGGGAGCACATCAAAATGGGCTGACATGCATTTGACATTCATATTCCACATCTGTGTGCCCTTCCACTGCCGGTCTGGGACTTGGCAATGTCGAAAAGGTCACACAGAAGTATCGTGGTCTATTTTATCGTGTTTGCAGATGCATCACACATCCACCCCGGTCCTCTCCTGCTGCTAAATAATAGTGCTATTCTTAACTGGCAGATTTTTTATCCCCCCCCCCACAGCTCAGACTAGATCTAAGAACCCAGCGTGTTGGCAACTTAGCTGCAATCAATTCCACAGTGATACTTTGTGGGAGGTGTTTCACTGAAATGCGAGTCTCTTTTATCAAATGCGAAAAACTGAACTCCATCGCTCTGGCATGAGTCCAGACAGACACAGAAAAAAAAATACAAACAAGATATATCTCTGCCAGCTTCACCTGGAGCCAGGATGAAGGTGCACAATGAGAACAGTGGCTTAGCAGGGAGAGAGAAAGCCCAGAAGAGATCAATACAGGCTGACCATCACTCCAGTCTCAGCTTGGGGTAATGGGTAGCCATATTGCATTAGTCCGCTAGACGGTTCTCCTTGAAGTTGTGAAGCGAGAATCCCACTAATGCATCTGACATTTCACTGCAACCGAACAGGGCAGCCACGAAAAGTCTCAAGGCCTCACGGATCAGCTTGCAGAGACACAAACAACATCCACCCAGAAATGTTGTTGTTGTTCCGCAGTTTTTTGTGTGTGTATTTTCCAGATATATTCTCTCTTTCCATATTCACCGGGGTGTTTGCTTCTCATTCAATTCAATCCAATCTGTTCTGGTGCAGAACCGGGCCTTTGAATGAATTCCTGTGAATGTACAGTTCTGCTATTACATAATTAATGTGTTTATTAAAGATAAGATGCCTTGGGTATACTGGAGGCTTTTTCTTTAGAGGAAATAATTCCCGTTTGTATACGAAAACAAAATATTGCAAAGTGAACTGCAGCTCAGTCGTAATCGGATGAGTCAACAGCAACAATGGCATATAATTCATACTCATAATAATAGCGACGCGTTTACTGCTCTTTGCATAAGAAAACACCCAGAAAATGCATCTGAGAAACCCAGCAAGAGGAAACCGTGTTTATCCACACGATATAAGAGGAATTTAAAACTTCCAAAATGTGTTTCTACACAAGCTACTTCCTCACTCTCTGTCGATGCAAATCACACAACCACAAACAGCTTCCTGAAGCTTTAATGATCACACTGGACACGAATGCACATAGATGAAATATTCATGCACGCCGGACTTCTGATCAGCGCCTGTGGGATATCATTAGCTCTCCTCAATCTAGAGGTGTCTGTACATTAGAAGAGACGGGGATCCCTCGCTGCACATTCGCAGGAGATGGATCGGGATCCATAGGAGGTCGAGGTGAGAAGCAGCAAAACACTTGCTCCTGTTGTTGTGGGCTGCTGAGGTTTTTTTTTTTTTTTTTTTTACAGCCCAGGTAACAATTCTCTTGAATTGGTCATTTCAGAAATGACCAAAAAAGGGATTTGAGTTCTGAATACACAGCAGCAATTACCAACTCTGGTGCATTAAAAACATATAGTTGCACTCTCGACCAATCATTTCAAAACTCCCCGTATTGTATAAAAATAATGTTTCCCTGTCCTCATGTTGCAGAAATACTGCGGCAGCAGATTGTTAACCACATGATTTGACACGGATAGCCGACCCGCTGTACTTGTAGAGCGGCAGCAGTGACTGCTGATTCACATGGACCACCACATGCCGACGACGGCATCGGTCCGGAAAAAAAAAGCAGGTGAGTCGAGCATGTGCACAATTTTCAGCCCGCTTACAAAAGCCAAAGGACCTTCTCTGAATGCAAATGTCTGTTGTAAATACTCTTCAACCTTATTCTACGCTCTCAAAAAACCCAAATGCAAACTTAACTTAGCTGCTAAATCTTTGCCACGTTAAACAATTACCATTAACGTTACATTAAAGGATCTAACGAACGAGGCTGATTCTAATAGCTTGATTCGTGTCCATTCAGTGGTTCAGCTCTCTCTGTTTAATCATAAGGTTTCTGAGAGAAATCTCTAGAGACGTTCACCAAAGAGGGCAGGTTTCTTTTCTAAGCCCTGCTGCTTCATACACACAACCAGACCAGGGTGGATTGACTGACCACAAGGCTGACTGACCATCATTACCATCCTCAGAGCCCTGCACACTCACTAGCAGGGATCACAATAACAAAAAAGAGGTTGAGTGAAACAGAAAAGGCAGAGTGTAAAACAAAACTCATATCTCCCCAATGACCCGTTGCCAGACCGTTCTCTCTCTCCTCCAAACAATTCATTTTTCTGATGGAGCACGCAGCAGAGAAGAAAAGCTGAACGGTTACATTCAGATGTATTTACATAGAATGACAGTGACACGGTTACAGGCCATGCTCATTACTGTGATATGGCATCCTCTCTAAAAACGGTTTCTCCATCAACGTTTCCAGCAACTCTCCACAACTCACTGGGGGATTAAAGTAGGGGTTGCCAAACCGATCAATAATTCATCCACCCAAAACAGATTTTACGATGAATTGGAAATGCAAAAAGTGATCTCGCTCCGGTGAAAAGGTTTATGTTTAAAGAAAACATATATACACTTTATATATTATAATTCTGTTTTACGGATCACCTTCCCTTACCTGCTTCTTTGGAGAGCTGTGTGAAGGCCTCCACTCCCTTCTCTCCGTAGCTGCCCTCTGAGGCGATGGTGGAGACGTACGTCCAGCCCAGGGCTCGGATGATGTCCACCATGGCCTGGGCCTGGAACGAGTCCGGGGGAACCACCCGAGAGAAGAAGTCATAGCGCCGGTCATCGCTCAACTCCGGGGCCGTTGACGCGTAGCTGATCTGCGGGATCTTGAGGAGGACAGGTGGGGTTGGGGGAAGGGGAACGTTTACTCGTGTGTTGGTGCCATTCTGGTGCAGCATCATGTGCGGTCTGACTAATCTCATTTTTTCAAATGACTGTTTGAAATCGCTCCCTATTTACTAAAAAGGGACATTTCATTTGAGTGCAAAACGTGTGCCAGTAGAGACAGAGCACATTTCAGTCGCGCCAACACTGAAGGGGAAAACAATTCATCGCTCTCCATTGACTTTGCATTGTGTGAAGGTGTTTCCTTGTCCCTTTTGTCTGCTAGAAAACAACAGAAAAATGCCTGAAAGCTGCTGTGTGGTTGGATGCACAACCAACAGGGTAAAGAACCCAGAACTAAGTATCTATAAGCTACCGAACCAAAAGAGCCGAGCCTTTTGAAAGACAAAAGTGAGGCATCAGCAGAAATAAAACTCAGTGTGTGTAACGTTACATGTGCAGCAAGCATTTTGTCCAAATGTCAGTTTTAGGCGAACTATATCTCTGTAAGTTAAACGAAAGCATTTTGAGAGCATGCTGGTGGAATGTGGATAAATCAGATAGCTATGTAGTGTTATGTTTGCAAGTGCCTTAGCCAACTACAGTAGCTCGCTAACACAGAGCTAACATTAGCTTGCTAACTTTTCCCATCATCATTTTAGCTATCAACTGCCCCCTGGTAGACATAAGATCCTACAATAATCTTTTGACGTGCTGAAATCTGATGTTTCCATCTAGCTGCAGGCATTGTGTTAGCGATTCAGCTCTTGGTTGCATATTGTTGCGCTCTGTCTCTATATGACCTCAGTTCAGCAAAGAAATAGTGCCCATGAAATGTATGGTACATTTTTTGCTAAGCAATCCCATGATGCACCGTGTAACATGTGATAGATGAGAACATTACAGAGCTCGCCAGGGTCAGAGATATGGGTCAGATATATTTTGAGCTTCAGGGAAACGTTGCTTCTTCGCCTTCATGCAGAGAGTTAGATGAGAAGATAAAACTCTCATTTCTGTACGCTAAATACACAACTACTTCCAGCAGCTGGTTAGCTTAGATTAGCAGAAAGATGCGTCTCTGTACTGAATGAAGCTAACTTGCAGCATGGCCGTACTTTCATATTGAACACGAAGACATGAGAGTGGCATCAATCTCCCCATCTCAAGCAAATAATCATGTTTCCTAAAATATCAAACTATTCCTTTAATGCCAACACTAACATGTTTCACTTCACACTGCCAACATTTTCACGTCCAAACATGATCATATTTGCGTCAGCTACGTGTAAATAAATGCATTGTTTATAGAAAGGCTCTGACAGAATATCGTTTGTCATTTACAGAAATACCCTATCACAAAGAATAACAACATGAATAGATGACAGCAATGTGTTGTATATTGTATAAATTGTCATGGATATTATTTGTCATATGGGTTTGATTTAAAATGGGTGTCCCATACAAACAAAGATATTTGTCCCACACTCTCACAGGCAGATGGCAGTCTGCAAAACAAATATATTTTTCACATTACCTTCTCGATTGATCTCAGAATATGCTCACATTATGTAATGCAATATTTTACAGAGCCTATATTGGGTCTGTTACCTGGGCAACGTGCCATGCTGTCACTTTCTTCTCCCAACATATCGATGAAGACTTCCTGCAGAAATGTCTTTGCAGCACTTTTTTTTTTATGAAGTGGCAGCACAGCCTTGTAAGCGCTCTCTCACACTTCCCTCCTGGTGAGAACTCGTTGTGTGTTCACCACCTAACAGCATATACAAATATATTAAACCTAATAGTCCCGTATAGTAAAAAGTGAGATGCTGTCATGTCTTTTTAATCATAAAGTAGGTCTAAGTGCTGTATAAATACTGTGAAAGCATTGAAATGCTCAATCCATAGAGAAATACACACAGCCAGTATTCAGAAACTGTGCCTTTAAATGTTGTATTGATCATTTTTATGTAGACAATACTGTAATAATAATAAAAAACAATACATAACTTTTAAAAAGAAGCCAAATAAAAAAAACATGATTGTGAACTAATCATTTTACTAATTTTGACGAATATATCTGACGTTGGTTTCCACTTCTAACAAGGCTAGTGAGCCAATAGAATAACGACATTGGTATCACGTAGTTAGCGTGTTAGCATTAGTGACTGTTGCCTCCAGTGAACATACCTTAAGTTATAGTTCCCTCAATGTAACGTCATAACAAAGATACGAATCAGAGGGTATTTAGACTATTACTTGGATGACATGCTATATGTTATCTAAAACTAGCCATATCATAAGTTTACTATATAAAACCTTACATGAATCTTGAAACACCATCGCACAAAGTAAACTAAATCTATATCTGATGTATAGCAAAATGTTGCAAAATGACTTCATTACTCTGACAGATCCATCACTTGATATGACTGCCTGTCGGAGTGAAATATGCAGGATGTGCAACAAAAACTTGAAACGTAATGAGCCGTGGTCGCTTTATCTCTTTCATTAAGTAGCTGTGCAGAACACAGGCTGAGCTACACTTCAACATTTGTACTCTGTTTACTTCTTGAATCTCTGCCAAACATGTCAAACCCACATCGTAGCTGTACTACAAGTAAAGATGCACACTCCTACATACAACCCAAAAAACAAGAGTGAACCTGGAAATGAGCACAACATGGCTCCTTTCAGGAAATCAGCTTTCAATTGCATCTCTTGCTCAGCTTTCAAGTTCTTCGATCAAAGACAGGGGTTATAATGTGACCGACGCTCTGTGCTTTGATCCATTCGCCATCTGCTGAGGAAGACAGTTAGATGTGGTTGAAAGCCATTTCATATTTCTGTAGGATATGTGTGAATAGATTAAACTAATACTTGCATACTATGTCCCTTTCTTCAGTGAAGCAGCACACTTAATGATCACTATCAAGTTACAACTGAGACATACTCTCAACCCAACAGTGCATTTAGAGTAAGGATATACAACAGGCTAAATCAATTGAGTTCTTGAGGAAGATGCCAGATAGTCACTTTTCCTAATGTTCAGGGAACCCCTTAAGAGTCTGCAGGTGTTCTTCATACCTCCGAACACTAACACTGCTCACGGTTTAAGGCAAGCTAACGGCATTGCTCTGGTGATGGAAATGTTAATCTGTGAGTCAGTCCGTCGGTCCACTTCACCTCTAACGGCACCTTGAGATTCACATTTGTGCTTTTGAGTGAAACGCGCATTGGTTGGTTTAAGTTGAATTCAGTAAACAAACATAAATAAACAACTGCTTCTTGGTGGAGTTGCGATAGGTAGATTTGCCCCGAGTTCACAAAGCAGGAACTCCGTCTTTGAGTGGTATTGTAATTTTTCTAGTAGCAGATAGAAATGTTTGATTTACGAGTTGTCTGGAACGCAGCATTAGTAAAGCCTCAGAGAGCCACAGACACAATCGGTGTTCCCAATGTTAAAAAACGAGGTCGCTTTGTTGGATGTTTGGGGCAAATAAACACAAATGATCCAGTGGTCAAAGCGTAGAGTGTAAGAAGGGAACGTAGTCATTGTGAGGTCACCCATCGGTTTGAGGACTGCCGTTTTAAAGCCTCGCATTGGACATTTTGGCCGTTGCCATCTTGGTTTTTGGTCGTCTTTATGCAACCACAAGTAACACGAGAGGGCTGAATAAGTTACAATCAACTTTCATGAAGTGAAAACACACTTTGAAAGGGTTTAAGTTATAAGACAAAAACACAGACAACTCCCAGATCGCACAACATTGTGGTCGAGACCTGTCAATTGCAGTAGCCCCGCCCTAAAGCATCCCCTGCTTTATGGTCTGTTTGACACTAAATGGACCATAATGTACTAAATGAACATCATGCTGTATTGAAGAAGACTTGAAACTAGAGATTGAGACCATAAACTCATGTTTACAATGTTTACTGAGGTAATAAATCAAGAGAGAAGTAGAGTCATTTTCTCATAGACTTCTATACAACCAGAGGAGTCGCCCCCTGGTGGACATTAGAGAGAATGCAAGATTAAAGCACTTCAGCATTGGCTTCACTTTTCAGACCCGGAGGTTGCAGTCTGGGTCAAATTTGCGTGACTGCCACGAGGCATCGCTTTCTGTCTGAACATACTTTTAATCTTGTTTCATACAAGCTAAAAGGAAGGAGGATATATCTATCTGACTGCATCAAACAACCCGTACAAATAGGTTGATGAAGGGGTCTAGTAGGAGGTTGTTCACAATGCCGCCTGCTTAAGACCTAAACATCAACAACTGTGTTCGAGGTTTTGAAACAGCAATCACACCTGGTGGCACGTCTCGGATCAAACTGCCGACCTCCCGTTAGACAGGAGGACGCACAAGCAGAGACAAGCTTCATTTTGTCTTCCAACCAGTGCAGAACCTCATCACACAGTCTAATCTAAGCACCGTATGAATGCCATCCAGTGATCAAAAAGCAGCCAGACACTGGGGAAACACAAGAATGAGGACACAGCGGCTCGCTGATGGGATTGCCTCAACCCACAGAGTGTGAGTTATAGCTTTGACCCACAACCAAAAAGGGGTCAACCGCACGAAGCTGACAAATTGAGGAGTCAAGCTCAAGACGACTCGATATGTTTCAAGTTGCCGAGAAGAAGAACCCCCCCCCCGCTAACTACAAAACCAGCGAATACAAAATCAGTGATGCAAATTCACAGGTGGGAATGCTGCTGCGATGCCACACGTTGAATCACTTCGGGGCCGCCTAAATTGAGTGTAGTGGGTCAAAGAGGGGAGCGCCGCAAAGTAATGGAAAAGCAACAGCGGCTGTGATTTGCATTTAAAAAGACTCTTCTTTCCATGAAGTGAAGCATCTATTTGAAACATTTATGGCCGATGTACTCTAACAGAGCTGCTGTTGAAATGCTGTGCAGCCAGAAAGTGTTATAGGTTTGTTGAACCGCGTCCCATCTTCGCCACAGCTGTTTGTCTCTCCGGAGCCCATTTTTTTT